TGCACAATTGATCCCACCAAAACTTCAAGAATCCCTTCGACATGTCCATGAACTTCAAGAAACCCTTCAAACACGTCCAAGAACTTCAAGAAACCTACAAGAATGTCACTCAACTTATCTTGAACCGGTCTCTGATACCACTTCATATGAATGGAGGTTTGAACTCCTAGATTCAAAGGTTACCAAAGTATGCAGCCAACTTGATCTTCAAGTTACTCAACTCGAATCAAACATAAAAGCGGGAAATGAATCAAACTATCTCAACTTGTGAGAAGGGCCAATCGATATTGGGTAGAACTCACCACAACAAGATGTAATCTTCTAGTTGATAAGAGATGTGTAAACTCCTCGACAGAAATTTGGTTAAATGTTCACAAAGGAACATGAGATAAACTCTCTCAATTAATTAATGATTTTCGGTGATGTCCTTTCAATGAAACTAGGTCCCTTTATATAGGCTACATAAACTAAATCATATCCTTCTAATGAAAAAAACTAAAGAAAGAAAACAAATAAACCTGGCAATTGGATCGGGTTGTGTAATTTCAGGTTGGGAACTTCGGTTACGGGTCGAGTCATGTTAGTTTGGCTTATTTCGGATCAAATATTGACCCAACCCATTCGGTTTCGGGTCGGGTTACAGGTCATTTCGGGTTATGAGCGTTCTCAGAAACAATATCAAACATGCTTCATATTTTCTTAAAGAACACAAATTTTCACGTATGCATGACAATAGTTTACCTAACACATGTCAATTAACATATTCTCAAATCCCCCCACGCTAATGAACTGAAATATAAATTGCGCAAATCGTCAAAAAACAATCACAGGAGTAATACTACTACAAGAAATACATGATATTTGATTATCCTTAAACTCCAAACATGTCATTCAAATCCTTGTGATTTTTTTTAAACATCTCACCAATTTATGAGTGATTTTATCATATTTTGGGAGTAATATATTAAATGGAACAGGTCTAACAGGTCGACCTGCTAACCCACCCAATCCGACCCAAAAAATCACGGATTATCGGGTTCAGGTCATTCAGATTTTGACTTACAAAAATTTGTAGTTTCCGGGCGGTTTTGGGTCAGTTTGTAATTTGCCAAGTCTAAAAACCAGTGTTATTAAAGCCGAGCTGAGCCGCTCGGCCCGAATGGTTAAACCGCCACCCAGTTACAAAACCGGCTCGAAACAGTCTAAAAGCGGCTCCAGTTTTATGTAGCGGTTGACGAGCGACCGAGGCAGTTAACCGCTCGAGCGGAAGTCGCTCGTCCGGTTTTTTCCATTCTGTCGTTAAATTTAATTAAAAATTTTCAGAAAATTGAAATAAACCAAAAACGGCGTGCTCTCAAACTGAATCCTTATTTCCATTTCACAATTTCGAAGGAAAGAGACGAGCTCTGATTAAGAAATGTCCACTATTTATACTGATAACGTTTATTAGGTACCGGATCTCTAACGGTTTTTAAACGGTCTAATGCCGGTTGGACCACTAAAGTACGAGTCATTCGGATTACCGGGTCATGCTCCGGTTCGGTTCTGACAAGATTGCCAAAAACAAATAAAAATCCGAAAATGACAAGCACTAATCCACTAAAGATTTGATTATTCAACTGCCTTCCTTCTAGGCTAAGGAAATGGTAATCCTTCTGGGCTAAGTACTTCTCAAAGCTATTCCTTCAATCTGCCACCTTCCTCCAAGCCCAACTTCTCCACATGATTTCCTTCCATGAATTGCAACAACAATAAGGGCAAGTCTTTAAGCATATGCATGTCCATGCTAGTAAAGTAATTGCTCAAGTAGCTTGCACATTTTTCTCTCAATTTCTTGACCTTTGAACGTGTAAGAGGTCCCTCTTGTGGTGTAGTGTTCTTGGTGATGACCTCGTCACATCCTGTATATGAGACTCACCTTCGCCTCAAACTTCTTAACCTCAACACTCAGTCTCTTACGTACGAGCTTAGCACTCAATTCTTGTTAGAGACTAAGTGAACTTTCACTCACTCTTGAACGAATTCACAAGTATTGAGGAGGTCTCTCTAAATATGTTATTCCTCTCAATATTTAAGGATGGTAATAATTGAGGGGAGGTGCTCCTTGTATAGGCCTCACCTACATAATGGATGACTATGATCAATCTAATTATATGCTTGTGATTGAGTCTCTAGAATCTCTTATACAAGTTCTCTATAGAAATATCAACATCTACTAGATGATTCCATACCACACGCCTACAAAAAAGCTAAAAATCCGCGATAACCCTAAAAATAAGCAAAAGCACTAGAAAAGGTCTGAAATCAAGGGATTCAAAAAAAAGTTATTAGATCTAGTTGACAATTGTGGCAAGCAAAAACTTGAAAGGAAAAAATACAAGAAAAATACGGACAGTCAAAGACAGGGTTGTTCAATCTACACATGCACACCGTCGTAGGTAGAAGATCTGAGAAAAGACTTTTACATGCAAGCCGACATAATGATGACAATGGAATAAACAGATACCAACAAAGAAGCAGCAGAACCAACGGAAGGACCAACTCAAAATAAGTGAAAGGATGTAGGGGTGACAGAAGTGAAGTTTGGGAATTGATATGAGAATTTCAAAATTTAAAAGTATTTAGTGAAGGAAAGAAGTTGAGGTCAACTTGTATATCCCAACCACAAAGGCCAAAATTCTATAAAAGATTGCGCCTTGGAGAAACTTGAACTCAACCTTCCAATTTCCAAACCCATGGTATTTGGAAAAGGTTAAAACTTGAGTTGACAAGATGGTGTGCCAAATTAGATCTAAAATCCAAAGTGGAATTTGAGGCTAAGAAGAAGAAGACACTTATCACAATTGGGTGTTGTCAAGTAATTACGAGATAATGTCTAAGCAAAACGAACTCTCTCTTATCATCTTGACGTACATGGACCGACCTTATACGCTAACACCAATGGTTGAGAGAATAAACTTATTACTCTTGTGGTTTTGGCATAATGCGAAGGGTTTTTAGGCATAACAATATTAAACACGGGCAACATAGTTTACCCAGCTACAAAATAAAATATTTAAAGACGAGACATAGGCCTTAGCCCAAAAGAGAAAAAATTATAACCAGTGAACGGTGACAAAAGGCTTCAATATAAAGATGATTTTTACAAGTGCCGCATAGCAAGTTTGGTAGCTAATAAGACAATCTTAAAGTGGTATTTTCTTTCAAGGAAAAACTAGTATGTCTCGAAAGACAAACGTGTGGAAAGGGGCACATTCGTTGTAGACTTGTAGTAACGTCAAAAAAGCAATATATGCTTACAAAATGCCTAAACAACACAATAATTTTCCTAAGGATCGATCTCCTACTATAATTATGAAAAGGTAAGTCCAAAGTAGTCAAGAAAAATCAGTAGAGACCTACCATATTCTCTCTATCTTCCTAAAGCAAATTTTAAATTGAAATAGCTCAACGGCCTAATTTGGGCCCAGTTGGCTCGAACGGTCTCATTCTTCATCTTGCTTCTCTAGTTCTCTCGAGTAGCTCAATCTCATTCTTTATCACTAACCTTCATGCCCAATCTGTTATCCCATGATTGATCTTCTCTGTTATGGACCGTCAACTTGATCCCACCATTAATAAGCCCAGTGAGTACAAACTCTCTACCTTGGCCTTTCCGCTTGCAACTACCAATTTCGTCAGTGTCGGTGTAGGCAGCATGAGTGCTGATGAATTTAGCACAATAAAACATCATTCCACTGGCATAAGATCTACCCTATCTAAGAATCCATCTATTGTAGTGGTTCGCTCATCTCCTTTTATCGCAGGCACTGCCGACGATGATAAGGACATAGATGAGACAAAAGGACAACACCAACATTGGGTTCATTAGAACCCCGAGGGTTTCGTTTGTCACCTCAGCCCCACTCTCTTCTAAATCATCACTTGGGTTATCATCTCCATCATCTTTTCCGGGTATTCTTTCATATCTTCCCTAGTCCTCTGCGAAGTTTCCTTGAGCGTCGAGACAACCTCTTAGAGCATGTCATCCAGGTTGATCTAGTGATCCACCATGGAAACCACCACATCTTTGAAGCATTCAACATTAGTGTTGTCTATGACATCCAGCTCACGCAGAGGATGCTCTAGCGATGGAATCTTTGCTTCTCACCCAGAAACATTGACACCCGGAGAAGCTCTGATACGGTTGATGAAGTATGGATCTAAGATGTCGATGGTACGGATAGATAATTGAGAATAAGATTCTGAATATGAATTTAGGAGGATCTTGTGAGAGATTAGGATACCAAGGAGGTAGCTTGGGTTTGAAGAAAGTAGCGGGAGGAAGAAGAGAGTGTCCAGGTGGGGTTGCAAGAAGACAAGGGAAATGGGAAGAGAGAGAATTGGATGGAGAGGAGAGGGAGACTTGAGTTTAGATATAATTATTCTTTTATATTTACTTAATAAATCTATATCCCAATCATAAAATATATAACCTATTAAATTTTGTTAAACTAACTATAACCAACTCCTATTACAAAAATATGAAAGAGCGTTTCAACTATGCTCTTTGATATTCAGATGATTCCAAAAAGAGCATTTCCACGATACATTAAAACATTGGTGCTATAAAGTGCAACTTGAAGTTGTACCATAATGTTAAAAGTAGAAATTGAAATTGTACCATAAATGAATTTGTATTTTTATATTATGATACAACTTCAATTGTACCATAACATAAATTAAATGTACAACTTTGATTTATACCATAAATAGATTTATAAAACAGAATATAGTTATAACCTAAAATTATAAAATAAAGTTATATATAAAACTTCAAATTATACCCTAAAGATAGAATAAAAAATTACCAATACTTTAAATTCTTCAAAAAAAAAAATACGAAGAAACAAATAATTGTTAAGATCGTGGAAAGCGAGTTTCCATCCGAACAAAATATACCAACCAACTAACTAACGCGGACTGAAACTATAAAGAATCACCACCATTTCTATTTCCTTCCAAAATTGGCCAAAAACCCAACTGGCTCTGCATCTCTCCTTCCAAATTTACATTTTCCTCGCAAACAAGAACTGACTGCATACACTGATCCTACAAAATTCCAATTTCGATGCGCTAGCTATTCATTAATTAAGGAATGCCAAAAATTGAATGCCGGAAATTCTTTCAACCGCCCACCGCCAATCTCTAGCCTCTCATTTGCCGTACGGGCAAATTATTCTTCTTGTTTCCCTATAGATAGATAGACAGACAGACGTAGAGAACGAAGCAAGCAAATTCTGATCGATCAGCATCACAATTCACAAGTCAAAGAAAATATGGACAAAAGAATCTCGCTCAAGCTTGCTTTCCTCTTCTGCATTCTTCTGTTGGCCACCACTTCCACAGCAGGTGGTGAGTCTTCTTTTTCTTTCACGTACGTACGGACGGACGGCTGATCAGTTTCCTCACTGATTTTTTATTTTTGTGTTTTGATACTTCGATCTATGATCAATATATTAATTAGGTGCGGCGGCACAGACCAGGGTTAAGGAGGAGATCATGAAGAACAACGATAGTACTGCTACTGAGAGTGTGGTGCCAGATTCTGACGACGACTATTGCCTACGCGTTGTATGCAAAGGCCTGAATTGCGGCAAGGTTTACAGCGCCGACGGAAGGTGTTGGTGTGTTCTCAAGCAAGGCCCACTCGTCACATTGCCTTGCACCAATTAGCTAGCCTACCTACCTACCTACTTGATCATGGCTACAGCTTCGAATGAATAACCAGCACAGCACTTGTGTTGTGCCTCGTGCCATGACATCTATGGAAAAGGACCGAATAGGTCCGTATATGTCAGATTAAGTTACATGACTCATGGAAAGGACAAAGGAGCGCCTTTTATGTCATGAATAAATCATATCGAAGGTTGTTATGTTGTTTTAGTGTGTTTCAGGTAATCTAGAATGAATTTTGATGATATTTGGACGAAAGGGACACACTAAAGATGGAAGTTAATTATGGAATTCAGGAGGATTTGGTGAGCATTTTAATGTGTTTGTAAGATACTTTGAGTGCAAGACGACCTAGGAAACTATCGTGTTGTTGGGCGTGCTCGGGAACAAAATAACTCTAGAAAATCCGAAGCAAAAAAGAAAGACATAAGCTATCGAGCCTAGCATGGTCGTGTTGAAGCCCAGTTTTTTGTATATTTAAGTTGCAATTAGGTTTTCTGAAGGAGACTTCTGCTGATTAAACCTAAAATACTAGTTAGAGGGCATATAAAGAAGGGTTTCCAATAATTGTACCCCTAATTAGTCGATTGAGAGCGTGATCAAACAAGGAATTTACCATGAATATCAGCTTTTCTTCTTCTTCTTCTTTGTATGTTTCATCATCCCACATGAATTAATCATTCTTTTTTATTTGTATTAGATGAACCCTAACTATAATACTCTGATTTGATGGAATATTTATGGAATTTGATGCTTATTTTCCTTGATTCATCTTTGATTTATCATTCGATTGTTAAATAGTTGCACACCTATTGCATGTTTGTTTGTTTCGTGTGTATAACGAGTAGGGTATCGCCTAATGCTGATAGAACCCTCATATATAAAAGTGACTTAGGACTGACGTGATACGGAGGACAAATGACTTTTGGATTAGACTAAACCTAATAGGAGAATTCACAAAGCGAATAAATCTTTAATTCATTAGTCCTAGGTCAAAGAGGATGTCAAGTCTAGAGTTAATTCATTGATAGGGTGTTAATATATGAGGGAGTCTGATTATACTACTTTGGGAATTCCTAAGGTCATGCAAAGACGACATCGATTCCATATGTTATTTGATTGATGAATTACTGATTAGCTAGGGGGATTCGAAATTTGACCAACTCCTTCTCTGCTAGAATTTCTCTTAGTGTTCTACCTGTTGTCTTTGCTTATTTTAGTGTCTTGTTAATTAATTTGCTAAAAATTAAAAGACTAGGTAAAGGATCAGTTAAATAATAGAAAACATAGCCAATTACTAGTAATTCTTAGTCTCTATGGGATACCACCTTGCTTGTCACTATATTGTTTCTACAACATGTACACTTGCCTTACTAGTGGTACTAAAAGGGGCCATCAAATTTTTGGCATTGTTGTCAGGGATAGTAATATTAGTGACGCCTTGATTTTATAACATTAAACATTTCATTATTGTTGTCTTTTATATCATTTTATTTTTGCTTTATATTGATTGTTTTTCTTTTGAACTTCATGAGTTGTCTTTGTTTTTGTTTCGGCAGATTGAGTTGGTTTATGCGAAGAGCCTGATTCGAGCAAATTTATTCACATTTATACCCGTTTCTCTTTGTTGTTTGACTTGTAACATCATCCTTGAAGCAATTTTATGCTAGGATTTCTCATGTTTGAGTGTGTTTCTGGCTCTAGCATGTGAAATTGTCAAAATGATAATAAAAAATCAGACGAAAAGGAGCCCAATGGGACCAAGTGGTGAAAATTGTTAAGCTTCACGATTCAGAGCCAATCTTTATGGTCTCCATCAAAACCTTGAACATCATAGGATCCCAGAACGAATGGGACGTCTCGCATACATGTGCATTATTCACGGTCTCATGCGTGATGATTTCAAACAGACGATGAAGTGAGTTAGTAAAACAACGTGGTTTCAGTCGACATCATAGTTTTGTTGTGTAGTTCATGGTCATGATTGGCGATCGTGAACTCTGCACTACTAGGTATAAAAGAGAGTAGAAATCATATTTGAAGTGATTTGGTTTGGAGAGAGAGGGAAATTGGAGTTGTTCTTCTATCCTAGAGAGAGAAATTGATGAGCAAGGAGAGCTTGGAGGAGAAATGGAGCTACCCATTACTCAAGGAAGCTTAATTTTATCTCCGAGAGCATCCCAAGCAACCAAGGGGGGAGATCTCCTCAGCATGATGATCGTCTCTATCTATTTGTTTGTTTTTCTCACTCTAGCCATGGAGTAGTCTTCAAATAAACTTGGATGATAAAGAACCTTAGTTTATTATATCGTAGTTGATTGATTGTAAACCCTATACCAAGATTTGAATGTTGATTATATGTTGATTTGAGCATTATTCATGGAAATTGAAGGTTCTTGATCACTTTCTCAATTTAAATCTAATTAACCTAGGTGAGAGAATATCTCCTTAGGATTAATTTAGAGTATTGCCAATTCAATACTTGGGACAAGTGTGATTAGATTCCTTGTGTCGTATTGGTTCATTACCCATTTGCGGGAGTATCTTTGGTTACCTCAATTGCCTAGCACGCCCCCGAATTGCCTGAAACGACGTGTTTTGACTCCGTCTTTAAGCTTCGAGATCGAGACCTCCTTCAAAAGATCGTGGCAGTGATCTTGGCGTCCCGGGCGCTATCTTTTTTGTGGTCAAAATGCACCATGTATGTGATTCGACTGGGGAAACTCTCTGCATTCTTCTTGGTCGCCTGCTGAGGTTCGTGGCCACTGATTGCGGCCATGATTTTCAGGCCGCGATCATCGTCATGGCTTGTTCAAGGGCAGTGACGTGTGGCCATGACCAGTGCCTTTTCTCCACTTCTTGCTCCTATGTTTCTCAATTGTTTTCAGATGAACTCCAATTGATTCTCGATCAATCCCAAATCAACATAAGACCTGAAATTTCATCACAACCGCTTGGAAAATCATAAAATACGACAAAGTGGGGTCGATTCCCCTATGAAAACCTTCATATCAAGAATACCTATGCCAGAACGAAAGTTTTGCAAATGGGAACGAAAATAGGCATAGATAACTTTATATGTGGCCTAGACACAGTGATTAAACATGAAAATGCCTTAAGGATAAGAGCTAAATAACGCCTATTATAGGTCTTATCAGATACACAATGAAATAAACATGAAATGAGTCTCAAAGCCGTGAGATCCTTTCAATCACAGAGTCTTTCGCTCATTTGACGGCCTGTGTCACCATTTCCCTCATTTCACGGCTTGAGCCGTGATTCCCTTGTTTCACGGCTGGGATGTACTTTAGTGAAAACATGCAATTTAATTTCATAGGCTATTTTAAGGCCATGTCCCATGAGATAGGCCATTAATCATGGAGAGTCGACTATAAAAGGATTTCGGCTATCATTTTAGGAGGAAACTAATTCCTTTAATATGATAACAAGCTTAGAGCTTTATGGAGAGATAAAGTGATGAAAGACCACCCTTAGTGTGAATTGAATTCATTCTGTTGTGACCATGAGTTTGAATTCATTCCATTGGAGTGGCGAACGACTACCTGGAGCATATTTTCTTCGCTAGCACGAAGATCTCTGCTTCAGCCTTCATGTTTTCCTCTTTATCCATGTAGTAAACTCCCTCTTCATTTGGGTGTGAAGAACCCTAGCTTTTTGTGTTAGGTTAATTGTTGTATGAACCCTGATTCTTGGATATTGATATTATTTATGCAATTGAGGTATTATTCATAATTGATAGAGCATCCTCAGTTGCAAGTAGTGAATCAATGAAACGAGAGTGAACCGATTTGTTGCTCTGTACTAGATTAGAAATCAAATAGTGGAAGTCTATTTGAATTGTCTTGGTAGCTTATTTTGGTTGAGGATAATCTCCCTCTGGGTACTCTAATCAAGAGGGTCTGAATTGCATTAGTAAAGGCTCCAGACTATCTCAGGACTTTCTACAATTTAAATGTCAATTGAAATGAATTAAGGGGAATTGCAACTTGACCTACCTACTAGCTAAGGGGACACATACCTAGGTGACCTTCTCACGTGTGAATTCGAATCAATATTACTTGCTTTGTTTCTTTAGTTAGTAATCAGATTGCTACTACTCGAATACTGGATAACAAGATCGATCACTATGTAATAGTAATTCTAGGCACTCGGGTTGATAAGTAAAGCTTTGATCCATTATACTGCAACCTAAGTCATGGTTGCACTTGGCCACTTCTTAGTGAGTTGGTAAAGGTTATTCAAAATTTTGGCGCCATTTTCAGGGATGGCTAGAATAATAAGAAACGTGACTGATTGTTACTTCAGCTTTCATTTTCTGCATTTGTTCCTTTTTATTCCCTTTGTGTTTCACGCGTGCGTTGTTTGAACGTGTGCAGGTACTGCACGACCCACCAATGGATTGACTTGCTGGCACTAGGGGTCAAAATCAAACGTACTTTACATGAGCTTAAGAGAGCACTAGAACTTTCAATGGTTGCACTAAAAACAAATACAACATTAATAAGGAAAAAGAGACACAAAACCAACTCGATAATCCTTCTCAAACTCGGTATAGCTTGTGACCTAAGTAAACTCCTGCTCAAGTAAAACAAACATCCTTCATGCCACTTCAGGCCTCTCGTATGATGTCTTCCAAGCTTAGTTGACCTCAACCAATTTCTTCACGATCTTTAGCAAGGCTTGGAATTTCACTTCCAACTCCTGGCTTCATTCGAATGTCCTTCAAACTGAATGAGTAAGCCTCCAAAGTAGGTACCTCGATCTACTTCCAACACTTGGCCATTTTCAGAACTACATCCTCACAAATTGTGCTTCCTTCTTTAAGCTTCAACGGAAGTGAACTTGGGAAAAAAATTATTGCATCAACTCTGTGGCATTCGATGTCATGAAGGAAAATTTCACCAATGCCCCAATAATGGTCACCTGGTATTGGAGTCTCCCAATATAGTCAATATGTGACGCGAGTGGTCATGCGGTATGGAGTAGTGTTGGGGCAACAGAGTGGCAAGAATTTTCAACTTATATGCTATGCTTCTAAGACCTTAACGAGTGAATTCAACGCCAAACCAAGACTCATTCGATGGATTCTTCTTTTACAAGAAATTGACTACATAATTCAGGACAAGAAGGGAGACAAGAACTTAGCTGCCGTCCACCTTTTGTGCCTCATGGGTCCCTCCGTTGATACCATTAATAGGGAGATCAATGATTTAATGCATATGGGAGCCTGTTCATGTTGACTGTGATGGAGAGTGTAACACCTTGGTTTGCCGACTACGCTAATTGTTTGGTGGGTAAGCAATGGCCAAGGAGAGATGCATGACATTTGATCCATTTTCACGAAATCCTTGTCGGGGCGACCATAAAGGTAATGGGACATCAAGAAAGGTGCTTCAATCGGGGTTTTAGTGGCCATAGCTATTAAAAGATGACAATGAGTTTGCTCGTTGATGTGACATGTGCCAACGTTCAGGTAACCTATCCGCTTGAAATGAGATGCCCCAGACTATCTATATTGCTTGTGAGATGTTTAATGTTAGGGGCATCAAATTCATGGGTGCTTTTCCCACTTCTTTCTATGACAAATATATTTTGGATGTGATTGACTATGCCTCTAGGTGGGACCAAGCACAGGCATTGCCCACCAATGATGCTAGACGCATATGTATGTTTCTTAAGCACTCATTTCCATGGTCAATTTGACAAATTCCTTAGTCATTGTGGGGTTACATATAGGGTGTCAATGGCTTACCATCCACAAACAAGTGGTCAAGTCGAACTAACAAATCGCAAGTTGAAAAGGAGCCTTTGAAAATCTCACAAGGATTTTTTTGCCATTAAATTGCTTAACATGGATACAAGTTTTAGTGTGAAGGATCACAAATTGTAAATTTTGGAGCTAGAGGAGTGGCGTGCGAATGTGAATGGATGGCCTTTCTATTGAATGCTTTGGAGCCTTACTATTTCCCAAAATGGAGCCTTTCTATTGAATGTTTTGAGGTCTCAAAGCATATATGGATGAATAAATGATTTTTAATCTACAGTGAGTGTGTTTTGGAACTTGTATATTATGCCCCAATTTTCAAACTTTAGGATTCCAAAAACCTTGCCCATGCATGCTTCCTACTCATTGTGCTTTGAATTATTGGATGTTGTGATTGTATGCATTCTAGGGAGGTTAGTGTAACATTATGAAGGATGTCGGTCTATGAGAAATGTTACTTCTACTTCCTCCTTGGTTTTATAATATTGTTATCTAGTGGTATTAGGATGTATGTGTTGGACTCTCTCCCATTTTTGGACTTGAATTTTTTTTTTTCAAAAAGTTGCTCCACTTTGAATGTGCTTTTAAATGAAAAACTGAGTGTTTTCATGTGGAGGCAATTGGTCATAGTATTTTAGTTAAGTTGTCAAAAGGATTTTCTAATGGACTGGAGTGCCCTTTGAGGATGTGTTTGGGGAATTTGGATAGCTTCCTATTGTCCAACCTTCACCTTCTACCTTTCATCTTCCCATTAACACCTCTCCTCCTCATAGGATTTTTCTAAGAGGAGATAGTGTGTTTATGTGCAAGTCGGGAGACATCGGCTCTTGCTATTATCTCACTTGTGTGGCAACCCGTCTATCGTTGAGACGATAGTACAGATTGGGAATTGGTGCTTGAGATATCAAGAATCAAAACCAAACCCTTCACCTTCCTACACTTTTACATCCTCTCAACCATCACTTTCCCCACAAGGGCTAAAAAAAAAAGAAGTCAATGTAACTTTTGCTCTAGGCCATGCGATAGAGAGTCCTTGTTTGTGGAAACTGCTGGTGTAATGCCATGAGCTGCAATGTAAGTTGAGGCACGAAAGTTTGAGTCCTCTTTTAAGGAGGAGCACCACCATCGAGTCCAACGTTTTCAGCCCGTTTTTAAGAGTCCCTACGTACACATCTTGCATGTCTTGGTTTCACTAGTGAACAAAGTCCCAACTTTGGTTTGTGTTTTGCATTGAGGTGGAGGTGAAATTTCTTGTCTCTGGTTGACATCGAAGTGCTAGTTATTTAGCTACAAATGATTTATAATGCTTACCATTGTGAGGGCTCATCAAGTTGTACTAATATGAGTTAGGTTTGCTAGGGGAAAGCAAATGGTTAAGTATGGGGATATCTGATTCGAACCAATTTATACACATTTATACCCCTTTCTCATTGCCATTTGACTTGTGTAGCATCGTCCTTGGAGCCATTTTACACTAGTTTTTGTAATGTTTGAGTGTTTTTCAGTCTCTAGCAGTTGAAATTGGTGAAAGGATAAAAATACGGATGAAAAGGAGCCAAAATAGAACCAAGTGGTGAAAACTGTCGATCTTCACGGTTTAGAGAAAATACACGGTCTCAGGGCATGAAGATTCCATCAAAACCGTGAACATCGCAGGATCCTAGGAGGATCAGGACGTCTCAAGGGCAGGTGCATTTTTCACGGTCTTGAGGGTGAAGATTTCTGATATGATCCAAATCCGAAGAGAATCCTCGAACTCGGATGATATGACCAAAGTACGCAGCTTCAACAATGTTTCTATGATTTTCTTGAACTCGAAAATAAAGGTTAGATATGAAACACACTCAAACAAATCTCAACTGGTGTGAAGGGTCAATTCGTATATGAAATCAATCAAACAATCACCAACTCCTGAATAAGATCACTCGCTATTTGGTAGATGCTTGCCACAAAGGGTTTGACGAATTAGGAGGAGGAGGTTGGGTATTCGTCAGAGCGACTACGAGCCCATTAGTCATACGGCCCGGAATTTCAGCAGGATCCCACTAGGCCCACTCGAAAAAACATGACAGCTCACTCACTCTGTCCTTCCTATGCTCGTCGCAATAGTTGAGAGATTCAGAAAAGGCGTCCACAATCCCATTAACTGAAGAATCAGAAAACCAGTTCCCGTCGGAGTGAGATCGTAAACCTGAGGGAAATGGGGAGAGAAGTGTCGGAGAGTTGCATCGACAGCTTACTCACCGAGATGGTGTCGTCGTACTGCAACCATTTCTACGCCAATAAGCCTGAGCTCGCCGCCCGCCGGATCGAGGCCATCGGTTACCAAGTC